CTCTTATGCATCATTTTGTAAGTTTTTTTTTTTTTTTTAAACCACACTGTTAATTACTACTGTCCATTCAATAAAGATTTGAGTTTCTATTATGCATCAAACTCTATACTCTCTTTCCAAATCTCTTCCATAATTGGTTCTACTTCATTCCATTCTGCAAATATTTATAAAAGCCCTCTTCTCCTTGTTTCTCCTATGTGGACTTTTATTCTCTATCAAATAAAATGACTTTTCAGTCAAAGCTCTGCTGATAGTACCTAGGTGGCCAATAAATGTTATTGTTCCACATTACATAACCTAGTTATTGTTTTTACAATGTTAAATTAAGGGAAGCAGTACAATATATGCTAAGAGGTAAATAAAAATGGTACCTACTCTTCCAATTCAGCTATATTAGAGTATTATTTTCTCTTTGTAAAATGTTCTCTTTCTGTGCATCTACCCAAATCTTTAAAATTATTCAAATCTGACATTCACTAAAAGCTGGTATCCTAAGCACAATAATCTTTCTTCTCTTTGAATCTATATAATAGCTATTACATATTTTAACATTTGTTATCTAGCATCGTCTAATTTTTAATAATTTTAGCTTTTGTATGTATGCTTAAGATTCTGGAGAGCAGACATACCAGACATTTTCATCATAATTCTAAAAGTGACCTGCTAAGCCTAGATTTTTACAGTACTTGTTGGTTTTCTACCTGTTCATGTCACCCTCAAGTTACTAACCATGAAGGCTCTGTTCCTTTAGAACATCATAAATCCCCCCAAAACAATCAAAAGTACCTAAACAATTCAAAATTGTCAAATGCTCATATTCTTTTTTTTTTTTTTTTTTTTTTTTTTTTTTGCGGAACCAGGGATTGAACTCAGGCCCTTGCACTTGCCAGGGAAGCGCTTATTCCACTGAGCCACCTCCCTTGCCCCCTCATATTCTAATTAAATAGGATATCAAATATTTGTTACAGTATTTTAGTTTAACCTCTCTAAACCTAAATTTTATCGTCTAGAAATAATGCTTCTCATGTTGATGATATAATATAAAACATTTAGCAAAGGGCCTGACACATAATGCTTGCTGAATGCCAGCCATTATTATATCCTGAGTGAGGGGGGAGAAACTATAGAGAATAAACTTTTTCTAGAGATTAAATTTAAGCAAAGCAACAAGGAAATAATTCACGGGTGGAGGGGCAGATTTCTCTAAATCAAATTCTTTAGGCTAAGGGGTTTTTTATATATAAAAAAAACTTTAAGAATCAGAGATTACTAAGCACCAAATAACAACAAAACCCAATGTGTAACAGTAGTTCTGAAAAAGAGCTCAAGAATGCTTTTAGTGTAAACAGAAAGAACACAGGGCCCTGAATATGGAATGTAGGTCCAAATAACAGCTTTTAAGCACCTGCTGACTAGATGACAATAACAAAGTACTTTAAATTCTCCAATCCTAGTTTTTCACTTCCAAACTGAAGCAAAAATAATTGTCACATTAAATAAGGGAAATAAAAACTCTGGCCATCAGGTTCTTGTTTAGTGAGTATTTTCCTTCTGCATTTAAAAATAAAAATTCTGAACTGCATTTTAACAGTAAAAGTAAAAAGTTCATTACATACTATCCAAAGCCAATTAGGCACCTCAACACAAAATGAACAGGAAGAAAAGATCGTCAGTAAAGGAGGTAAGATTTTTTAGCTAAGAAAATGTGATTTGTCAACAGGAGTATGTCTGTTACACATCAAACAGAACGCAAAATATAAGCCACGAAAGTATAAGAATTTAATGAATGCTTTTTGGCTAATATTTCTGTCTTTGGAGATGACTAAAGAAATAGCATTATCATGGAACATTAATATATATAATACTCATGTAAGAAATATGAACTTCCTTATGTATGCCTTTGTGCATCTACCTCGCTCCTCCCCACTCCTCTCAAACAAGATCAAGGAACTTCTGGAATATGCCCACAGAATGAATTAAATATGCTTCTCATTCATTGACTCCCAACAAAATATTTTTGCTGACATTTTAAGACTAAGTTAATTAGGGAAATTATTTAATATACTCTAGATCAGAATATGTGCAAGATCCCTAACCCAAGGTTTCATTAACCCCTGCCATTACAATCATTGAAAACAGTCTGTGCAATGTTTCATCAGGGAAAAAGAAAATTCACAATGAAAACCTCTTTCACTCAGCTATGACACAATAAAAGTACAGAAAGGGTTCCCTTAATTGGAATGTTTTAGAAACTAGGGTAAAAACACAAAGAACAGAACAAAAACCCTACTTAAGATAATCTTACCTTTGCATTACAATTTTTTAATGCTTTAAAAATTGCTTTTCTTGGGGCTGGGGAGATGGCTCAGTGGAATAAAGTGCTTCCCTGGCAAGTGCAAGGACCTGAGTTCAATCCCCGGTTACACACACACACACACACACACAAAAGTAAAAAAATTGCTTTTCTCATCACTGTAATTTAGGTTTTGTTTGGTCCTGGGGATTGAATACAGGACATCCCACATGCTAAGCAGATGCTGCATTCTACCACTGAGTTGCACTCCCAGCCCCTGCAATTCAGTTTTTAAGTAACCAAGTCAATGTGCCTACACTTTAATCTATAGTACTTTTCCAATATAGGCCAAAAAAATCATGTAGATCTGCTATCAACATGGAGTTTTTCTTTTTACATTCTTTCCAAAAGGAGTATGTTCCTCATGACCTGAATTTAGATGATTCTTTTATGTTGAATTAACACTAATTAGGTAATTATAATTAGAGACCCAAGGGATGAATGCATCCTCTAAGCCATAATGTATAAATTATTGGTGCACAATTTGGGTCTGGGAACCACAATATTTTGGAATGTAAAACTCTTTTTAAGACCACTTTTACAGTGTTTATTATCTCTAGTTCAATGTTTGCTCTTTATGTGGTAATTTTCTTTAAGTTGTGTTTAATAGGTTATCTCAGCTACAATGCCTTCAACAATCAAAATAAATGAAACTCTACAAGAGGAAGTGTGACAGAAGATAAAAAATGGTAAGGGAAACAGGGTACACTTATTTAGTTCCAGTCACTGATAATGAATGTCCTGTTAACAAACTCCCTGTGAGGCGAGATCAGAACAATAATGCAAGAATATAATAGTTGAAATGTTAGAATAGAAATATCTTAAGTATCTATTGAACCTTTGAATCCACTCTTCCAAATCACTCGGCATGCGTTACAAATTCAAGGTTGCCCTTTCAGAAAAAAAGTGTCACGTAAATACAATTAAGCTCAATGAGACACCTAACTAATTAAAAAATAACCAAAATCGTATTCCAAAAGAGGCAAAATGCAGACAAAGCATTCCACTTAGCATGTTATTTGGATAACTACACTTTTTATTGACAATCTTGTCATTTCTAAAGCATAATTATGCAGCAACATTTGTCACTATCACAACAAACTTGAAAAATCCTACTCAGGCCAAAATTAGTTTCAAACTAATCCACAAAACTATTTACCAACTTGACAAAAAAGGGGGAAAAAATACTGGTTTATGGAAATGAGACTTTTTTAAAAACTAACTTTAATAAAATGCATAGAGTTCCAAGGCTAAACTAAGCTGTTGTTTTCCAAGGGAAAATTCTAAGTCAACAGCTGTTTCCTGATTTCTGATTAGCATTTTAGAAACTGGTACACTACCATAAAATAAAAATTTGAGAACATTTACTTAGTGAGATGAAAGCTATCTTTTAACTAAGGATAATACGGTGCAAAATAAAAGGTGGAGAAACTACCAATTGTACCCTACCCTCAAAAATCTGTGTTTGGGGACAAAACGAGATGTAATCAGCACAGGCAGAAAAAAACAGAAACAAAAAGAGCTGGAAATAGGAAAGAGAGAAAAGGAAAAGCAAACAACTTTCGATATTTCAACAGAAAGCTGTCCTTCAACACTGAAAGGACTGTGTAGCAGGTATAGTGTGCTGTAACTCTCTAATACAAAAAGCTATTAAAAGCTATTTTTACAGCTTTTATTTCTTTATGTAGCTGCACTACATATTCATCAGGAACAACTACTTGCACATTAAGCAAATTCCTTTACACCTTTCCATCTTCCGCCTCCAAGATTATCGCTCACAGAATGAACATGTACAACTTAGTTTTCCGGGGTGCTTCACTTCCCCCCAATGCAACACACGAGAACATTGTAAGTTCAAATAAACAGGCACCTAGGCCCGATAATTCAGTGTCTTTGCAATCTGCTTAATTTTGAAACTCCTAATAAGATGTGCTCACGGTGGAAACGAAAAACTACCTTATAAGGCTATAGAAGACTGAAAGCAGGAAGCGGCTTTGACAAAACTGAGGAAGTTGCAGCGCGCTTGCTCACTGGGGGACTTTTTTGAGGCAAGAGAAGTAATACATGACATCCTTCTTTCTCGAATTAAAATGTGGCTGGTTCACCGGTAAAAACGCACTGGAGGCTGGAAATGACCGCGAGAGTCGCCGGGAGGCGGCGCGCGGCCGGAGGAAAGCCCCGCGCCGGTTCCCGTTTTCGGAGCGGCTGCCTCCCCTTCCCGCCCCAGCGCGGCGGCGGTGTCCGAGCGCTCCCGCGGAGCCCACACCCGGCCGCTCCATCCCCGCGCTCGGCCCGGGGAGCCCGCGCCGGCGCGGAGGGCACGGGAGGAAGGGAAGGCCAGGTGGGCCGCGCCTCTC